CAGAAAAACAAATAACATGTATTGGATTATGATTACATTTAGAGTGAACATTTATTTAAACCAATTTAGGCTTTTCTTTCTATAAAACTAAAACATTATTTTTCAGCACAAAAGGAACTCTTAGCTGGTACACTAAACTTTCTGATGATCTCTCATTTATTTAGCTATTTGACAAAGACAGGACAATACTATTTAACATCTATCATGTGATGATAGTAATGTTCAAAGGAGAGATACAAGGTATCCAATTAATCAATATGGACAACCAACTATTCAAAATAATCTGTCATGAAGTTTCGCCTGAGTTAGCTAACCGAGTTAGCTTGATTTGATGGCTGATTTAATAGGAGTCTGGATATTTTAAGTTCTTCAGAGTCGGTATAAAGTGTAGGCTGTAGTCTGAGCTGCTGTCACATCAACTGACACACTCACCGACTGATGCCTTCAAACGTGGCTGTTAGTTTAAGTCACAGGTTTCCTTCAGAGCAGCTGTGGTGAGTTTGAGTCCATGTCGGTCGCAACCCGTTGCGATGACAACGAGTTTCCAGAACTTCCAGAGAGCTAACGGCCACCTGCGACTAGCTGCCAACGGTCACTTGCGACTAGCTGCCAACGGTCACTTGCGAATAGCTGCCAACGGTCACTTGCGACTAGCTGCTAACGGTCACGTCGGTTGTAACGGATTCCAGCGGTGACAAAAACCCCCAGAAAGCTAACGGCTAGCTGCTAACGGTTAGCACGACACGGCTAATCCATAGGTGGAACATCTGCTCAGTCTGTTTACAAGGTAGGTATGTCCATATATATACATAATAAAGGCATTTATTAACTGTTATGTATTTATATGGCTATGTCAGGTAAATAACATTATATATAGTGCGACGGTTAGTGTGCTCAAATCTCAGCTAGCTACCAGCCGCTTACTGGCCGAAATGTTAAATGGAAATGTGTTTCAGGCTAGCTGAACACAACAGGTGTATTAACTACAATCATAGAAATATATTTATTAGAAATCAGTGTCTTGCTGATTTGTGGCATCAATACTTATAATCCAAGATAATATAATATTATTCTGAAATTAGCCATGCTGCCATAATGAGTACTTTATACATGTTTTGTTGCTAAAACGTTTTTAAAACTTTTACTTAAGTGTAATTTTTAAGCTTTTCTGAGCTTTTAAAACTATTGTATAACATCCCTATCATACTAAACCTGAACTCATATAAAGGGTGTAAAAAGGTATTTTCCTCTAAATATTAGGGAAGTGTATAAGAGGCAGTAACTAACACATGGGAAGGTGTGGCAGATATTATTTGCAGTACCAGTAGGCTACTTTATGTGAGCTACATTGTAAAATTTCAAGTTGTGAAAAGTTAGATTGCAAGTTACACATTGGCATAATTATGCATCACTGAAGGTTAAAACATGGCTTACTCTTATTCAACAATCCCAGAGAGAACAACAGACAGACTTCCCATGCAGGAAGTGTGCAAAAGGTAATGGTCCTAGACTGTATTCATTGCATTGTGTTGAATCAACTCAAGCAATATTTATTGATATAAACTGAGGTATTTTAACTATTTAGGAAATCCCCTCTTTTAATTCAGAGTATGTGATCAAGCTGTTGATCTGATTTATATTAAATATATATTTCTATATATAGGTGAACACAGGCAGCAGAAGGGGCCAGAAGGAAACCCAGCTCACACCACTTAAGCTCAATACCACCATTTCCTCTGTAATTATACACCTCCAGCTGTGCCTTAATCAAAGAATGTGTGTGGAAATATAATTAGCATGTTAGCATAATGCACATAATAAAGAAGTACTTGTAGTTGTCTTGATCTCAACATCAAAGAGCATGTTGGTTCCTTCTCAGGGCATTAGTATCATACAAATCTAATTACTCTTTTATTGGATACTTGGAACAAGTACAAAAGAATTTCTCGACAGTAATCTGGCCTTCCAGTGAAAAACGACCATTATAAAATGGGCAGACGTGAGACAACGGTGAAACAACATACTGATAATGTGTGGTCATCGGCTCCTCAGGACACATCAGGAGGAATTTAGTTTTTCTAGCTTCATGTCCTTCCAGCTGTGGTGACACAAACCTGCCCAGTGCAGACAGTCGCTTGACCTCGATATCTAAAATAGCATCCAGTCCATTACTGTGCCCGTGTCCTCTCGCTAAGCTCTAAGACTCCACAGAGTGAAGTGCAACATCAAGTTCTCGTGTAGAAAGTCCTGTGAACATCACTAGTCTGAACACAGAAGCAAAAGCTGCAGCAGTGGTGGTGGTGGAGGCGGCGGCAGCAGCAGCAGCAATCCACCCTAATCCAAATGAATCCGGGTCTCCCAGGTTTGTTCATCCTGGTTGGAGGGTGATGACTGCTCTACTCTGCTGGGGTGCTTATCTGCTGTCAGTGGTCGGTGGCTGTACAGGCCTGGTGTTATCAGGGCTCAGCCTGCTCAGGGATTGGAGGGCCTATGGAAAGTAAACATAGAACCTGTCCTTTACTTATCTATCCCAGGAGAGGGAGTGTGTGCAATATATGTGTGTGTGTGTCTGTGTGAGGGAAGAGGAGAGAGAGAGAAAGAGAGAGAGAGATGCACAGAGACAGCGAGAGAAGCTTGTTTCCATGGCAACCTCCTCCTTTAACCCCCCTACCACCCCTCCCCTCTAGAGGAGAACCCTGGTGGTCTTTGTGTAATGCGATTCCACTAGAATGCACTGTGGATTAAAGCTGCACTGCCTTCGGGCCCTAAGCAGGGCAACAGTGAAGACATTATTACCCAGATCAAATGCTGTAATCACTAGGCACTGGGGGCTTTCACATCCATTGCAGATAAAACCTAGGACTGGCAATACTCAGGTGATTAGGGGATTATTATTCTGCATTTCAGCACGGTGCCAGTCCCTCGCTGTTGGGAAAAAAAAAAAAGAAAACCCTGATTCTCTGTGTGATGGATGGGGGAGGGCAGAAAACAGAATGCCAGCCAAAAGGACTAGCCAGAATACTGGTGGACTCAAGGCCTGGCAACTAAAACTAAAAAAAAGCACAAAAAAAAGAACCCACACTAATACAGTGGTTTGCATGTGCAAGCCCACATATATTGGCATTGCAGACCCCCATTGATTTTCTGTATGGTCTTTGAATCTTGGCTTTAACAATACACGTAGAAGTAGAGAATTTGGCCTATATTCCGATGTTCAGAGCTTCTGTATAACACTTAGGCCATTCTGCACAGTAAGCCCTCCAAATAGAACAGGGCAGCAAAGGCTTTTGCATAAGAACCTGCTGAAAGCCCTCCATTGAGAGGTAGATCAGCGGAAGGCGAGACAATGACCCCCTCAGTGTCCAGCAGTAGGCACTCAGGAGGTACAACCTTTCATCTGCAGATATTCCACTGTTTGATTAAGTGAGGAAGAAAATTCTACTTGAGCAAGGAGCTTAAACTACAAATGCACACAGGAAGTACACACTTCAGCAATGTGGGAAAAGAAAGACTATAGCCTTTAACAAATGAGCCCGTGAGAGCAGAGCATGGCGGCTGGCTCCATGCTGAAAGCATCCGGCCCTGCTTTTATAATCTAACAATAACATCTCTGAAGAGGCAGCCATATGAAGGGCTCACAGCTTCACGCACAGAGTCCTAGAAGAGCCTTGCTTTGGAGTGGAAGGACTGGGCCATTCACCTCATCCTGCCCAAAAGTACTCAACTACCAAAAGACCACTCAAGAGAACTCAAGAGCAGTGTTTGCGTCATATTTCTGAAGTGGCACTGCATAAAAACTCTGCCTTATTGTATCACTCTGAGACGGCTGTGCGGTTTCAGTGCTGCCACCATACATGGATACAACACTAGAAAAAGTGGCAGCTGATAGGGACCACAGTTGGTTACAGTACACTGTGACTTTGAAAGTTCACCCCTCAAATATTAATGCAAGCTCAGTAATTTTCTGAGTTAAAGCTTTTGCCAGTGGTCCCTAGCAGCCTCCCTAACAGCACCCAGGCTGTCTTCCTCTCATGTCTACGGTTCTCCTGAGACAGTTGTCAGCTCCTATCTGGATGCATTTACAGCCATTTACTGTCAGTAGGAGCCTGTGAGTAATTCTGCTTGTACTCTAGATGCAGACTAGAGCAAAGAAAGAGCCCTTACTAGCAGCGCACAGGGCAATGAACAGTTTAAGGACACATTTCTGGTCTACTGTAGAGCCAAGAGACATTCAATACGTGCAGTGTAACTCCCCTCAGTTACTGGTGCAGTCAACAACAGTTGCTGCTTTAGCTGGTGTAAACGCCCTGTCCCACAGCTGGCTACAGCACAAAAGCAAATATTCATATGTATTGGTAAATCTGAACTTCTTTACCTAAAGGAATAGTTTGACATTTTGGAAATAAGCTTATCGTTTTCCTGCCGGGAGTAAGATGAGAATTTTGACACCACTCCCATGGCTTAGGCACGATAAATATGAAGCTACAGCCAGGAGCCAGTTAGCTTAGCTTAGGATAAAGAGTTGAAACAGGAGCAGACAACTAGCCTGGCTCTGTTGAATCCTACCGACACCTTTAAAAATCACTGACACAATATACCTTGTTTGTTTAATCCAAAAACCAGTGTAAAAAAAAGACACACTGGTTTTATCCTAGGTTATGTGCTGGACTATTTATTAGCCTGGAGCAGTGACTTTCTGAAGTCCTGTCATCACTATGGAGGTTGCCAGGCAACCAGCAGAGATTCCAGGAAATTACTAAGCTTTGGAGTTGCTCATAAAGCAGATTTTGTTACTTCGAGACAGAGCAAGGCTAGGTTTCCTCATGTTCAGGTAACTGGCTGCTGGCAGTGGTTTCATATTTTCCGTACATGCGTTATGAGATTAGTGTCAGTCTTCTCACTTAACTATGGAATAGCTTATTTACCAAAATAGCCAATTATTCCTTTAAAGAATGCAACAGTAGCATGGCATCATCACCACTATAGAAATTCAGTCAAGATGATTTTTATATAAAAACAGTTTATTGATTTATCAACAACTGCCAACTGTACAATCCTTAGGGATGATGAACTTGTATGCTACACAGTCTAACTTGTGTTTATGCAGAGACCATTCCTGTCTATGGGATGATTGTAGTCAAATATTATGAAATACTGAAGAAAGCAAACAGAGCATAACCAAAATGTCAAATGTGGTGATGGCTTTGCCTGCCACCTTTATGAGTAACCGTGTAAGTCTTGCATATCAGTCACAGAGAGTCAAACAAGAGAGGCAATAATTAACTCTTGACTGATGACAAAATTTCGCTGAGTGGAGAAATGAAGATTCATACAATAGTCGAGTCAACAGGCTGAAATGAAGTCATGGCTGCTTCTCCATAAAATCCACCAGTCCTCCAGTTGATAGTTATCCATTTTAATGTCATAGAAAGCAGCCAGTTTTCAGCGATAGGTCTTCATTTCAAAGGTGAATTTCTGCTGACGAGGGTCAAAGAGTAGAAGTAACTGGAAACCATGATTTTCTCCTTCTTCCAGTGTGAAAAAAAGGGTTTTTCCAGAATTCTCCACTGCTAAAATCCATGGGACAAACGTCTGTGTTACAGCAAATAACGGAGGAAAAAAATGCCGTTGTCAGGGAGAAAAAAAATCCAAATTAGATTTCCGAAAAGGTCATTCTGGACAACGAACATGAAAAAAAAAGCAGAGGAGGAAAAAAACTGAAATAGAATATCCTCTTACAAAGTCCTAATCTAATTTCCATCCCCAGAGGGGACAGAAAATCACGGAGAGAGAACAAGAAAGAACCATCACAAGCGTAACTGGACACCAAAATATAAATCTATAAAAGGCCTTTTATTACTCCATTATGTACACTTTTCACAGGACCTCCAAGGAGAAGCTCCAGAGCGAAGCGCCGCTTCTAGTTGTGCCATGGAACTTTATCTCCACATTAAAAAGGACGAATAAAAAAGAAATATCCAACAAACAGAAAAACAGCAAGACATTATTTTCTTCTTAGTGCCTTGGGGAACTGCACTTGCTGTACAAGTGTTAGTTATATGAGTGAGGAAGGACAGAGCCAAAAAGGTCACAGCATCCAGGGCCACAACAGCGCCAACGTCCATTTCAGTCTGGCACTGCCAAACTTCCTGCCCATCCACCCCGGGGCTGCAGGCAACATCCATGCTGTCTGTGTGAGGGAAGGTAGATGGAGGAAGAGTCTACTGTTCCTGAGCATGAGCATGCTCTGATCCAAAGCAGTCTGTTCTAGTAGATCACTTCATATACAGTGGCCTTCTTGTCACCAGAGCCTGTCACAATGTACTTGTCGTCTGTTGAGATGTCACAGCTCAGGACAGATGAGGATTCCTTGGACTGAGGAAGAAAAAAAAAAAAAGAAAAAAAACATTAGTCATAACATTTTAGTCTTGACGGCAGTTAACATTTTCAACTATATTTGAAGTTAAGTGGAGAAGATTAGCTGACTACAGGGAAAGATTAGATTGCAGTGACATCAAGTGCTGGCCTAATGCCCCTCAAAAAGACTTCTTTGTCAGGTCAATAATTCAGGTTCAGTTTTCACTGATAGGAGAGTCCTGTCAGACAGCGGTCGCTGTGCCCTTCCTCTCAGAGACAACTGTGCATACTTTTGGACTGGCTGCAGACAGACTGTATTGATCTGCATACCTGGAATATGCTGGCGCCATAAGGAGTCCTCCAAGCATTCAACAGATTGTCCTTCCCAGTGCTTACAAACCATTTACCTGCAAAGAAAACAACAGTGCAATCAGGACTCCTTGGACTGAGAAGTGGTGGAAAAATACCTAATAATGAAGAGTTATCAGGTCTGTAACCTTGAAAACACAACAGACATTCAGACTGTAAAAACGACACTGTAGTTTTAGCACCGAATAAAATAGGACAGGCTAAAGCCCCTTCGCGGTTAAGTACAGTCAGCATTATCTCTCCCTCATTGTGTGTGTGTGTGTGCGTGCGTTCATACCACAGTAGGCGAACTTGAGGGAGAGGACACAGCTCTCGTGCAGGTGGAGCTGATACTTGTCAGGCTTTGAGTGGTGGAGCACCTCCACATTACTGCTCTCCATGCCCACAGCAAGCCACTCTCCGGTCGGACAGTAGCCCAAGGAGAAGATCTGGAAGCGAGACAGCAGTAATTACTGACAGTTCTGTGGCTAAAAGGTAACTTCCCTCCACAGTGAGTCTGTGTTATCCATCTCTTCTATGTTACTGGGCCGCACCTGTGAAGTGAAGTCATGCTGCTGCAGCTGTCGACCCTCCCTCAGATCCCAGGAACGAACAGTGTTGTCAAGACCGCCTGTCCACAGTTTAGTGCCATCATGGGATATGTCAATACAGCTTGCACCATCCGTGTGCCCCTGGAACTGCCTACAATCGAAGTCAAAAGGCACAGAAACATTTATTTACATCTTTTAAAATTACTCACACAACAGCACTCCTGTTGTGGGGACCATAGCCCTCACAATGTGAATAAGTGCTTTCTTCTAACCTAACGAGGGTCTGGTTGTGCAGGTCCCAAACGGCAATGTTTCCATCACTGCAGCAGGAGAAGCAGACTTTGGCATCGGGGCTGATGGCCAAGGCGTAGCATGCCGGCGCTGAGGAGGTGAGCTCTGCCTTGATACGGGGTGTCTGAGAGGCTAGATCCCAGATGGTCAATGTGCTGGCCTCACCTCCAACAATCAATGTGCGGCCATCAGGCAGAAGCTTACAGGAGCGGATGTAGTTATCCCTGTTCTGTTGCACAGAGGACAAAGTGAATCAATACATGTTCAGGGCAGTGGAGCTAGAGAGATTTAGGAACAAGTCGGTGGGAAAGAGGATGAAAATCCTTCCGTCATAATAAACCAACCAAAGGGTATGCTTAAACCTATGCTGTTATATTTTTCAACAGACTGGACATGTTTTTAAGCTTGCTGCATTTACACATTTATTCAGTGATGTTCACATTTCAAGCCAACAATAATTTATCCCGAAAATGTCATATGAGGTTTATCATTTTCTTCCTTGTTCGCTGTCTTCTATTTTACATAAACACTGACTAAAAGCATCAGCTGCGTTTGTGTACCGCTACATTTGCTGGAAAACAGTTGGACGTGTGCCTGTTGTGGTCCTATGTATAACAAAGGATTATCCCATTGTTAATGGAATAATGTTGCGTATAAACAGTATATTACCTTTCAAAACAACTGAAAAAAAGGATTAGGTGTAAAGTCGTTGATGAGTAAAACGTGAATCAGCAGCAGTCCTCACCAGACAGTCCAGTTGGGACACGGGGCTTTTGCTGCCAGGTTGGCTGATGTCCCAGATTTTGACACAGCCTTTGCCACCAGTGTAGACATGACGTGTGGGGTTGCTAATGGTAACAGCGCACACCACCTCGCCGTGGCTCAGCGTGTTGATCTGACGGGCGTGGCGGGGAATACCGGGACCGATCAGAGCGTCAGGCGGGAAGGGCACAGGCTGCATCTGACCATCTGCACTGACGTGAAAGGAGTAAGCCCTGGTGGAGAAGACAGACACGTGTTAGTATTTTATATTAATGCTGTTTTAAAAAATTTATATAAAAAACACATTTGGCGTGACACTTACGGTTTGCCACCAGAAATGGATGTGAGGCTGGCAGGAAGTCCTGGAGCTCTCATGTGGCTGTGAGGATCAAATCCCTGAAAAATTACAAGATGGACAACATTGAATACTAGATCATTTACTGACCAGTGATCACAGTCAAATCCACATGGTGTTATTCTAAAGGGAATAGTTTTACACAGATTCGTAGAAAAACAACTCTGTAGCGCTACTAGAAGGTCTAAAACTCCACAGGGAACCTTTACGAGATACAAGAGATGTATTGATCTTTTCATACAACTCTCTGCAAGTGAATTAGTGTATTTCCCAAAATGTCAAACTACTCTTTTAACTATGTGCAGTGCTTTTAGGTGATGCCAAATACAGCAACCAACGTGGGCAGGAAAGGGGTGTTACCATGGGGGAGCGTCCATAGGCTGCAGCTGCTGCAGCGCTCATCTGAGGGGAGATGTGCAGACCAGCATACACACCAGGACTAGTCAGGCCTCCATTCATTTCATGATGGCCCATCATGGCAAAGGGGGTAGGGTAGGAGCCTGCGATGGACAGAGGGGTACGCAAAGCTGGGGCTGCTATGGACAAAGACAGGAGAAGGATATTGGTATGTGACATAACGGTGCATTGGGAGAGGATGGAAAAAAGATTATCTCAGTTGCTAGAGAGGAAAGAGAGTGGTACCAACCAAGAGCCTCCATGCCTGGTGGTTTGCCCAGGATGGGTCTGAGCCCGGGAGTGGAGCTGGTGCCAGGGGGTGGGGGCGTCGTTGCGGGGGGTGGGGGTGTTGGACTTGAGGCCAGGCGTGGAGGATTTGTCATTCTGTCGAGGGAACGAGAAAGCAAGCACATTCACAATCCCGGAAACCAGGCACTGTGCAGACTGACAATTTGAGAGCAAACTGAACTTAATCCAATCTAATTCTGACAACCCTCATAGTCCTGCAGAGCCATAAACTGCTATTTATTCTAAAACCTATTATGGCCACAATGGAGATGGGGCCGTTTTTATCCCCTTACTGCTTTGGCTTTAATCTTTTAGTGAGGCAGAGGGGGGAAAAATCCTGGAATAGTTAAATACATTGAGCTATTAACAGAGAAGACCTGACTGATCCTGATGCGGGACAATATTATCCCTGACGTTTAGTCATGCACTTAAAGCACCGACAGCCATTCCTAATCCACTACAGAAAACGTCCTAGATTTATTTGCACATATCCCTTTGCTCTCTCTGCAATTCTCATTTAAACCCTTTCTGTCCTAGTTTGTTCGTAACTCTTGGTGTCTTACATGACTGAGCTCCTTGGCCTTGGAGGATGGGGTGCTTCCAGAGGATGCCACTGATGCAGGGCTGTTGGGCGTGTCCTTCTTAGGAGGGCGAGGCTTGTCGATGCCATTTTCAGGCGGGGAGTGAGCAGGGCTTGCCCGCGGAGTGGCAGGGTCCTGGAGAAACAAAGCAATAGAGTTTGACGTTTATGTAATAGCTTCATCTCAGTACATGTCAATATGCCATTTACAATTACATGCCACACTGCTCACCTCATTAGACACATCTACCACCAGGTCATCACTTTTCTCTCCATCACTGTCCTGTAATGTTAATTGGAAAATTAGTCACCTTAACAAATCTTTTTTCTCAATGAAACCTTGATGATCCACATCTCTGACCACTGGAGGGCCTTGGGAATAATTTGACATTTTGGGTAATACGCTTAATTGCCGTCTTGCCAAGAGTTTGATGAGCCTGGACCACGGGAGCAGTCATTTCCTGGAGGTGAAGTTGCCATGCAACCGGCAGAGACTCCAGGAAGTCACTTTTCCCAGCCAACCATTGTCCAGTATATAACCCCCAATAAAACCACAATGTGTTGTCTTTTTCAATTTGGTGGAACAAACAATTGAGTAAATAATGAGCTTTGGACGTCATGTTTTTTTTTTTAAACCTTTGGGCTTTAAACCTCCTGGTTGTAGGTTCATATTTAATGGACGGACATGAGAGTGGTGCGGGCCTTCTTATCTTACTCTCGGCAAAAAAGTGAATAAGTGAACAATTCCTTTAATGACTTACATATCTGCTCATGCTGTCCTTCTCCTCCACTTTGCGTTTCTTAGAGTCCAAACTGTAGTCAGAGGAGCTGCGGTGCTTCTCACTGGATGTGCGTAAGCTTTCTGATGGAGATATAGAGTTATTCTGCAAAGAGAAAACCAAACATACTTTATTACCATTTCATCTTCCATCGTAAAAGAGAGCAGTGAGTCACTCATCAGTTACAAATTTACAGCGAACACGCTGTGCCAATCCAAACACTAAAGATGCCTCATTCACACAACTATGGACGCTGCAGACTCTTAAAATGCAGCTGTAGGCCAGCTCCAAGCAGTACCCTGACACCAGCCAAGCCCAATCTCACACACAAGCCTGTCCCTGGGCAAACAACAGAATGGGCCGTTATCTGAACAGAAAGGAGGAGGGCTTGTTTTCTGAGCTGGGCTCCCTCCTCCTCATAACTGGACAACAAACAGCCTCACAGGGACATGAGCAGTGTGTTGTGGCTGAACAGAGGGCCTTTTCTCCGGAGTCAGTCAGGCTAAGCGTGAGAGAGAGAGAGAGAGAGGAGGAGAGACACAGAGAGAAAGAGAAAATGAGAGAGAGACTGTATGTTGTGGGCACTGGGCATTGATTGCTGCAGCGCGCTTGGGCACCATGTCAGCTCAGAATTTGAGCTCTGATAAAGAAAGAGAATCTATATCCTGCCAGTGGGCACAGCAGCGTGGGACTGACTGGTGCTTCTTCATGGAGCCTGCCTGCCCACACAAGCTGGGACAGCTCACTCCAAACACCAACAGAATGGGAGGAACTAGGCAAGTGTCCAACGGCTTTCACAGGAGTTTGCCATTTGCCTGTAAACTGCCAAGTTCTCCTGATTCCCTCTGTCTCTTCCTCTGAAGACCAAAGCAACAACATGGACTAAGTCAGTGGCAGCCCAGAGAAGTGAACAATGGCCGATGGACTAGCAGTCTGGGCAAAGGGCCACTGTCTGCATAATGGCTGACCTTTAAAGGGATGCTTAGCGTGACTCATTAACCAAAGTCACCACTCTGCTATCAGATGACCTGGGACAAGAGCACAGAAACAAAACAGGCCTGCTAATCGCCCCAGGAGTTCCATTTCTTCAGACATGACTGCACCCATTCAGCTGGCCCAGCCTGCAGAAACACAATCTCACAGGCCCATCAGAAGCCATCAGAGATCGCAGCCATTCAAATAAAACGCTTTAGCAGGTCCAGCCAGACGGGGTGGAGAAAAAGAAAACAAAACAATTCTCCATTTGTGTTCATAAATATTCATCACATGCCAAGGAAGAGAAAGAGTGAGCTGGTAAACAAGGGAGACAGTAGAAGGGATCAAATAAATCCTTTAAGAAGGGGAAGTCCAAGTCATTCTTTAATTGTGATGAAATTACAAGGCTTCTAATCTCTCCAGCATGATACCAGTCATTTCCCTTCTGGATTAAAAGCACAGGACTTATATTCCAAACCTCATTTCCAATTAATCATTTTATTGAAAGCAGATTACAACAGTGCATGAAATCAGCGGTGGCATGCTGTTAGCAGGAATTTTTACTTGGCATTTGCTGTGAAGATGAAAATGTGATGAATTCTGAAACCAACAAGCCCTGCAACATAAATTGTTGTGGGTTTGGACACTCACCGTGTTCTCTGTACCGCAGACATCACAAAGGCAGCGGAGGTGATGATGAAACCAAGTGGAGCAAAGAGAAAAACAAGTCGGTTAGCATATCATAACAGATGCTTCTGGCTGAACGTGTGAGAATCAACTGCAGGGCACAAGGCCCCTCTTATCACCGTGTGTTGGAGCTGTTGAATAGCTTATGCAGTCATGGGCTGGGAATGTACCAGCTCATTACCCAGACAGAATGTGAACAGACAGGATGTGCTCCTCACCTAAGGGCCCTATGATTCTGCTCTAGAGAGTGAGAAGCACTCCGCACTAAATTGTTTTTTCCCTGTTTAACATCTTTGCAATAATGTTAAAATTGATATACATTTAAATTCTTCTAAATAAACTGGCTAAGCAGCTAACGCCCAAATGGAAAGCCTATGCCTGAGCTAAGCTCCTCACCTCTGTGTTCGAGATCATGGTGATTCTTCTCATCCTTCACTGGGAGATGGGCTTGGCTGCCCAGGGCGCCTAGCGCCAGCAGGCCTGATCCAGAGCCTGTCACAGGAGGGATGCCAGGCGGCTGCAGGCCTGAGGGGTGGGGTGGCAGCTGGACTGGAGGCCCGTGAGCAGCATGGGAGAGGTGCTGTGCCTGGAGCTGCTGCTGCTGTAAGTAGACAGGGAGACAGATAGACACCAAGTGGGTCGGAGGGAGAAGGCAAGGAGAAACCACACTCTAAACGTGAGGCTGATCAGTTAAACCCCAGATGATATTAGCGCATTCACACATCTATTACTGTCAGGATCAGACAGCAATCCCCCCTCAATGCTATTTCCATACCAGGACAGGGTGGCATAAGCCCTAGATCTGTGCTGAGGAGGGTAGACGTTATGGCTAACGATCAACTGCTCAACACGTCTAATGCATATGAGACGCACAATCGCATGGCGTTAGCAGTGCATGAGGAGTTGAAATTTGGTTCAAAGTTTGATTCAACCTCTGTTTAACGCAGAGAAAATAATTTCGCATCAGGTAAACAAGCACATTTCCTACTGCAGCACTCCTATGCCATCAGTGAGTTGAGGAATCCTCTTAAGGAACATGAAGCTGTGTAGGAATCTGTCAGCCTGTGGGCTAAACAACTACCTGCTTTTTAAAACACTTCAAAAACACAACCAGCGTCTATTTACTCCTCTCATATTCATGTTCCTGGATTAACAGAACATGAATCATTTGCACACCCAAACTTTAAGAGACTGAGGGAACACTAAGTGCCAGAAGCTGGCACTCCTTCCCACTCACTCTGAGTATTTGAGTGTGTGTTTGTGTGTACATCTGGAAGGCTTCTCCGGGAGCCAGGACCAGGGGTCCCATGCTGGCACTCACTCAACCCTCCAATATTCACCATCAATATTTGAAAGGCACAGGGAAATGGATGGGAGTTAAAAGGCACTCAGCATGGAAGTAAGCAGTTTAAAGCAAGGTTAAATAATACTTAGCTGAGACACCAATAAAAACATCAGCAATTTAGTACCCGTCGACGAGCCAGCTGAATAATTCAGCTGCTGTTACAACATGCACCTCCTCTCATTTACAAGACAGACTTCAATCAGTGACCATTTACGGGTATTTTAGGAATATTAGACACTTTGCAATGACTGGGGAAATGGTACAACACACAGAACAATATGGTTGACCTGCCTAACACACAGTTAAAAATACACTAACTCAGTAGGAACTTGCTCTCAAGTTCTTATCCCTTTTTAAAACAGAGATATTCAGTCACAGATCTTACAAGGGACACATCCTGCTAAAATATGTCATATCTGGAGGGTCTTTTTTAATTGCCTATTGCCCTCTGCTGTATCCAGCCTGAAGGTAGAGAAAACCAGATTGGAAAATACTGAGGTTTTCAACTTGCAACCTTGTCCTTTGCTCTATAGGGCAGATGTCAATCCAATTACAAAATGTACCCAGGACACAGAGAGAGATAGGGGGTGGGGAAGAGAGCAAGCGAGACAGCGAGTGTGTTATAATATTGTGTCCATGAGGGAAATTAAGGAGCCAGTTCATTGGCAGGGGAGAGCCATCCTTGCTCATTGTGTTTAATGAGGCACTGATGGGTAATATGCATGGTTGATCAGCAAGAGCCCTCATTAGAGGGCCATAAATGAAGACAATAATAAATAAAGAAAGGAGTCTGGCCTATTTCCTCTAATTTAATATTCCAAGATAAAGACCTACTCTTTGCCCTTTTTTCTCAGTGTAGCAGGAAAAAAAAAAAACACAAAGGCAAAATTGAGCAAATGTATTATCGTAGTCTCTGGTGTACCAACGACACAAACTATACTGTACTATGAACGCATAGCACTTGGACAGAAAAAGTGCCATGCAACATGCACAAGCCTGTTAAGCCCAGATGTGTGCACACACCAAGTGCATTAACAACAGCACATACAGATATTTGTGGATGCCACTGACCATGAGAGCAGGGTAGGCAGCTTGCTGCTGCTGAAAAGGAGGACAGAAAACGGTCAGGGCTACAGCTGCTCTAGATGTCCTCTCTCCATTATTACATACTGCAAATGATGGTGTTACAGACAAAAGAAATCTATTTCAGTTCAACGCCCTTTTAATACAAAGCCCTTGAGTGGCTTTATCCAGGTGGCCACTCACTGGGAGAAAGGTGGGCTTATCTGAAATACTCCTTGGCTGCCTTCAATATTTGGTGTGTTTTCTAATCAAACAGGAAGCACCACCTGTCAGGTTCATCTCGAAGCAAGCAGCTGCCCTAGTTGCATCCTATTAATGGCCCTCAGCCCCATCAATAAGGCATGCAGCTGGCTCCTGGATGCTGCCTGTCTGCCTGGCACGCTCTTTCACCCCACCTTGCTTTACAATATGCATGAGGATTTTGGCATGCCTACAGAGCTTCTCCTCAATGAATAACTAATAGAAAGGTATTCGTAAAACATACAGTAGCTACATTTCCACCTCCTATGACATGAGCAGCCGGCTTCACTTGGGTGGAGACCTGGCTGTCTCTTAAAAAACTGGTTGGGTGCCAAATAGGGCCATATACTAAAATCATGAATGGGCTTGTCTAATATTTTATCAAATGTACATTTTTTAATGCTTCTAATTTTAAATTATAGGCAAAGACCAACCGAGAGCTACAATGAAAGGACTACAGCGACAATTTCAAAAGGTATTCCAGCATTGTATTGTTCCAAATGTGAGAATCGCATACACAGGAAGGAGCCACAAATCAAATCTACTTAGGAATAACTTGATTTCTTTGATGGAATTATAAAGCATAAAGCACCTGCTTTAGTCCAACAGATAAAAAACAAATCGCTCTCCATCACCTACAAAGACACCGACTCAGACAAATTCTAGGGAGCAATTATCCTGAACAGAAGGTCACCAAAGGGGCATTCATTGAATTCCAATATGTACTTCCAGTCATCAAGTCAGCCTTTGGGGCCCGCCTCTTATGCATGCTAAAGACTTGTAAGATTAAACTGTAGTAATAAGATCACCCATAGCCTGAGCTTTGTATGGAGGGCGACACCAATCGCTTCTGTTTTAAGAGGCCAGGGTGAGTACAGCTGATCAATGAGGAGCAGCTGGTGTTTTGAAGCAGTGATGAACATTAGAAAATTATTGCTTGCTGCTGTGGTGAGCAAAGAGAACTGCTCTGCAGATCTGTGATGGCTGACTGCTATCTGTACTGTCTCGGGTAGCTTGCAGCGCTGGCTGTGTTCTGCTCACCCTCAGCCTTTTAATTCCCACAGCTATCCAGGTCAGCAATGAGGGATGAGGCTCCTCGTTAAAACCTTAGCCAATTAATGCGATACGGGCTGCGAAAAGGGATCTCAAGAGCTCTCAGGCTCGCATTTATAAACACACAACAAGGCAGTGAAGATGCCACAGAGACCAAAGCTGGAGCAACAGACCAGCTCTCGAGAGCTATACTCGCTGTGTATATAGTTTGAATATATTGCTGAAGAATATTGCATACGGAAGAATATAGAAATATATTAACACATTTGAATCAAGACAAGGCAAATCTGCATTATAACTTTAGTGAGTCATGTATCACATTCTGTTCACTTAACAGTTCAGACTAAAGTGTTATTTACAGCTAGTGATAATCTTATGTGCAGTTTTATCCCTAACCAAGGTCAAATAAAAAGGAATAAAAAAAGGGAGTATACACACGGTGAGAGGCAGATTGGGAAGTCCACGTACCCCGATGATAGCATTCAGCTCAGTCATAGTCACCTGCTTAGCACGCTCCACTGCCTGAGCAACCTGCTGTTGGTGCTGTGGGAAGACATTTACAAAAGATGACTGGGGCATGCCAACATCTATCACACACCCACACTCACTTATCTGTGAATTTTACACTTAATTTTCATAGTGCGGCTGCAATTTTAAAAGTGAGGGCAAATGTCACACACAATTAAGCAAAATTGCTAAACCAGAATTTTGTTTGAAGTAGTATCTTTAGAATGCAGGCAACAATAAGTGACTTTATTTAGTACTAAACGGTTACTCTGTTTGAGAGCCACATTCAAAACTCACCTCTTGTGACAGGAAAGGCATAATTTGAGCTAAAATTGCGTTGAGCCGTTTGGCAATCTCCGTCTGGAAACACAAAAGAGGAGCAAAATCAGACGGTAAAGTATGAAACAGACAGTGACTTCAAATAACCCCGCCTTTAATGTTTACACCGATTAAGTCAATTACTGCGGCAATCAGAACTGCTTGACTCAACATCCTCTAAACAGCGTGATATTGACATTTGAAATATTTAAAACATTAGGAGAGCCCAGGGGGATGGAGCACAGCTGTGCTGAGAGTGCACTCCATGCTAAACGGATATGAGCAGGCAGAGTGCTGCTGTGTTGAGAGGATCCTCTCTCACCCTGCCCTCCTTCCCCTCATCTGCAAACTGCGGTGTCCTGCAGTTAACCTCAGAGTTAAACCACACAACCACACCCCAGGAAGTGAGGCCCACTAACCAGACTGCACTGTTTACTTACATGTGACGGTGCAGACAATTTACATTAAAAGGGTTGTATCTGCAGTTTGAGCAAAGTTTACAACCCGTAATGACCTTCGAGGGTAACGCACCTCAAACTATGATCAATACCATTAGAACACAACTACCGGCCTCGGCCTGTACACACAAAGAGAGCAGAGTGTTAGAGCTCTGCCTTTCCGAGACTGAAACCTGGACCGTTTCTCACTGCAATCAGCTGCCCGGCACACCACCCCCCCAACCTCCCATCCATCCACACAGCCCTGCCTCCATTCTTCTTCTTGTCTACCAACTGCCATGGCAACGGCTGCAGCCCTATCTTGCTGGGATCATTATGCAAATGGCACCTCTGCTTGACCGTAACAGGCTTTAAAATCATATTACGTGCTTGGAGGCAGGTCATTAAATTGAATTTTCAGCCTGTCGATCACATGAACGTAGCAAATGAATGGTGGATAAAATGAGCAATAGGAGGAGGTGTGATAGAACCCCCCACCCCCCCGCCCCGCTGTAAAAACACTGCACACTCGGCCTCCCCCTCCTCCTTCTTCCAGGGATAGGAGATGAGACTCTCAGGTTCAAGCTCTACGCTGGGAGCAGAAAAATAACAGTGCCAAAGCTACATCATCTATGGAATTTATGAGCTGCAGTTCAACCCAAGGCCACTGCGGAACACAAAAACATCACAGGGATTTTCTACGATTTTTCATTTGGAGCAGCACACACAATGTACTTTGCAGACCGCCAGCTTATTTATTACACATGGCAGAAATGCCAGGCAGTTTTGGCAGCCAGACGTATTACCTCTGAGCAGAGCCAGAGAGATTGGAGAATAATGTCCAACAGAACGAGACCTGCTGACCCAAGCTGCAACATGGATAGCCACTTAGCCGGGCAAGCCAGCGGGACAAACAACAAGCTGAAGATGAAATATCGGATGAAACTAAGTAAAGCCTGGGAGGCAATAATGTGAAACAAATATATGGTAGCATGTGTTACAGAAAGTACAATAGTCCATAAGATAACACTGATTATAACTTGATTACTGTCTGCAGACAAGAAAGACACTCTGACTCACAATAAATTTGACCTACAACCAATAAAGCAACGAAAGGGTTAGAAGGTTTTATGAGCATTAGTAATAATACAATGTAGTAAAAGTGCTCTAGCAAGAGCTCAAGAACGCCCTCAGATATGGTTGAAAAGCTACAGAGCCTGTATAATCCATGTTTGTTGAGATAAGCCATGTCAATAACAGTCGAACATTTGACAGGATTTGTGAAAAGGCCTTGAGCGCACAGTCCATTCCTCCGTAGCTTAGTGTCATGGTGACAGCTGGCTGGAAGAGGTCAGGAGGTGGCTGATCTACTGTGCCCTAAACAACTGGCAGCATCTACCCTCTCACAACACAACATGCAAATACATGGAAAAGGCATCAACTCAGCTCGGCACTGCTGTCAAAATAGATACAGTGAAAGTGCTGGGAGGATTTTTTTTTGTTCTGCTGGCAGATAAAAATGGGGCTGTTGTCACTTTAAGTAGATGACAGCTTGGCCCTTGAGAGGCCAGCTTTGCGCTGCTGCTACACAATTACAGGTACTCGGACCTGTGTAGCACCACTTTAAGAGCACTCTCAGGCTGGCTTGTCAATGGTGTGCAGAAAGGTATTCGCCTGTTCCTATCAGCAGTGGGAAAATGGAGTCGAGACACTGATGAGTATTAAATACAGAGGGAAATCCACTGGTGGCTCTGGTCACATGATCCATTTATAAACAATACTTGACTAGTCAGATTATGAGAGCCTCCAATTTGTCCAAGATGACAGCATTGCCCCTTCCCTGATTTTTCTAGTTAGACTAGTACTTCACTAGCGGCTCATCTAAGCCAGAAAATGATGCATGCTTCCACTAAACTGAGCTGTTGCACAAGGCCTCAGAGTCTTTGTTAATGTGATAGTCCAGAACACATTTCTAATTGGCATTTGGAGTTATCTGTATTGATCTGGCTAAGGCCAAAAGCCTGCCTAAATGGATGCATGAGTCATTGCTATGATTAACCTTGTCGGCTGCAGCAGTAAGTCAGGGGATCTTGGGCAAAGGACAGCATAAAACCATAACCTTCTTCATCATGCCATATCTTAAGATATAATACATTTCTGTTTATACAAGTGGACCTGACACCCAACAGTTCACACACTGTAATTATTACACTCCAGTCCAGTCCCACATGACAGATTGGGGATATGGGAGCATTGGCTTGGAGTGCCACAGTTCCTCCAACTTCTTTTCCTTCCGCCCCCTTTTGTATGAACACTGCAGACAGACCGCTGGCTGACCAGGTTTTTTTGGCCCTGGGTATGGCAGATAGTTTGCTACTTAGCAAATGACTCCTGCAGCCATGGGTCTCATGTCTGTGTTACGACTACAGGTAACAGTCAAATCTGATTGAGCCTCAACCAAGCCCCAAACCCTGTGCAGCTCTTGGAAACAAGCACCAGATGATGGTAATTACTGGCTGACATCACGCAGCAGAAATTAGCTATTTGTATCTACATACTGTCACGGCTGATAGAGAGGAATCAGATAACACTGCCACATCAGTCCATCTGAGCTGTGCCGGCGTGTGCATTCTGAAATCTGAATTATGTCCCTGCACAGTAATGAAAAAGGCAGAGTTAGAGGAATGGATTTCCTCACTATGGAATAAATCTCCTGGCAGGAAAATAATATGCCTATGTGCATCCAATAATCTATCCCAACCCTGCCTGTTAACCACTCCCCATCTTCTCCTCCTCCCCTGCCTGAGCCGTAAGCCGGGGGAGCTGCATGCACGGGGCCCACACTGTTTGCTCACAAACACGCCGTTCAGCAGGTTAGGGCCCCACTGATGAATTATTCAAGCGCTTCCATCAGCTTTGTTGAGGTTCCTGATAAAAGTCAGGCGCTAAAATGGATCAGTCGATTAACCTGTTTACACAGAGCTGGGCTGTTGCCCCTCCCCCGGCTCTATTCTCCAACGTGTCTCCGGCTCCCTTCCCCCTCCTCCTCTTCCCTCTGGTTGGCGATAAGTGCCTGACAGAAGCTATCAGAGCGGCTCGAGCCCTGACAGACATGTGGCAGTGTGACACACAGCCCAGAGACTGATGGATCACCCTACCACACCGATCCGCCATGCCTCAAACGCTGTCACTAACCAGGCTAGGCTGTTGCAGGAAAGGGGACAGCCTCGCTGGTTTAAGAGCAGCATGCATGTGAATCTCAGAGTTACTCATTCATACAATCTTTATCTCTTCAAGCATCAGTGTGATTGATCTGTGGAGCAATACAAGATAGGCTCTTTCGATGAAGATAAGAGCACAATAAGTGACTAAAGGACTTTTACCTCCCTCTTGTAATTACTGTTCCTCTTTAAAAGAAATTCTGGCCCATCAGCAATCCTCTCCCTTTAATCATTAAGTCAGAGGCCGAGCCTGCCAAAGTCTACCTTTAATCTTATCAAAAGGTAGAGACAAATCCAGGCTTTACACAACTCAAAAAAAAGGGTCACAGCAGTTGTACAAGTGGTGGTACAAGTTTGCAATTTTATTGCGTTGTTTGTGTGCAGTAGATCCGTCTGTTTACAGCCCATTACTGATACTCAGTTCACTTCATAGCCTATGAGCAGCTCCCCCAGAGTCTCACATCCCCTGACGCTGTGGAAAACCACTGAGGTGAACAATTTGAGGAACATGATGGTACCTACCTGTTTGTGCATCTCTATGTTCAGCCCGTAGGACATCTCATAATACTGAAATGAAAGCAAAGAATTAATTGTGATTAATGAAGTCAAAAAAAGTCCCATTTACAATCAAGTTGCGCTAACATTTACCCTACTCCTAATCATAATTTAAATGTAACTAACATACGGCATATAGCCACAAATTAATATTTGAATCGATCACTCTGCTAATTACACCATCAAATGGTTTTGAACATCACGACTGAAACCTAAATTAAATCCAGTTTCTGTGAAGCAAATGTGATAAACTAAGATCAGACAAAAAAGGAGTTCTTCTAGCAGCTGACAGCGAATAGCCGATACATCGATATTTTGTTGTTTATAATGTGGGCACAGAGAAGAAAGGGGTTAAATTTATTGATCACCATCTTAAGCCCTCAGATCTCCAGGATGTCTATTTACTTAGCGTAACGCGATTGCTCAACACTCTTGATATTTCAAGCCAGGTCAGTCTGTCTGGCTGAAATGTAATCCGTGGAGCCCACAAGTGGCAGCCAGGGCAGAAATGGCTTTCCAGTCAGCGTCTATTTGATGAGGCCAATGCATTATTCAGTCCATTAGCTTCTTCGAAAATTACTCTCAAACAAGAGAGCCATTCTGTCTGAGATCAGAGCCCCACAGCCGTAGCGTAACCTGACACCCAGTGCTGGCTGTGGGATACTTCCCTACATGTTTACCTAACCTCCTCCCAGTCAGGCTGACATGTTGTTTTCCTGTGAAAAGAATGTTTAACTTAAGCCTGCATGTATTGGTTTAAGTCATCCTGGGTGTGTTTACCTGGGACAACAGAGCACACTGCCACCGAAGAGCCCTCTGATTGCGTCATGTCTGAAGTGAATTCCTGCATCATAAGCACACCTATGTTTTCCCAAAAGGGCTGCTAAAATAAAAGCTAATAATTTAGGTTCACACAGAAACTGCTAGCCTGTTCCACATCCTCCATTTTGTTTGCTGTGGTGCATTCCCCCCCCCCCCCCACACACACACACACACACACTTGCCTCTGGCCCTCCACCATCAGCTCACACCTAATTTATGGCCATGCATATGTCTTTGAGCGTGGAGTCTCCTAGGAGAATAATCACATCAGCACACACAGAGGGCAACGCTGCAGTCGACCCCTCAGAGATCAGGGGCGCGTTATAATGGAGCCTCAGCCCACTGCCGCCTGCCTGTCAGGAAGAGCTCCTCCGTAACAACCAGCTACATCAAACCCCCTGGGGGCTTTCACAGGCCTGTACCTGACACTCAACCCGCCCTAACCACCACACAGGTGATCACAATAGCCTGTCTCACTCCACCCCAACTAGATCTTCAACAAGCCTGGCAATTTGGAACCATAATTGCTCCCTATTGTAACGTAATCTTACCATGACATAGTGGCGCTGCATCTCCGTCTTCTCATTGGCCAGTTTGTCATACTCCACCTTAAGACTAAAATAGAGGAGAAGGTGTCAATTTCAGTCATCTCTATCACTTGAGTAACTCACTCACACTTAACCAATTGACAGGAGTGTCTTTTTTTCATTCCTACAGGAGGCAACAACCAAATATTAGCCTTCACCTTTACTAGAGCAAATATTGACACTGCCATACTTTTAGTGATGCACTTTGTAATCATTACCTGTGATACTGGGCTTGCAGGAACTGAAATTCATCTTTAATCCTGTCACAAGACTCTGCTACGGTGAATTTGAACCCAGGCTGGCCGGGCTGATGTGGAGCCTGAAAGAAGGTTGTAAATAAAAAAAAAAAATCACATCAGTCCAGGGACAGCAGGAAGTTTTATTCATCATTTTTTTCTGCATTGTGTCTTGTGCTGCTGAAGGGAGTTGAGTAGTTCTCACATTGACCCAAAGAGGTGGGTCTACTTCACACTTCCAGAAACTAATAACACAACATGAATAGGCTTTCACGCTGAAGAGTACATCTTATTTCAAAAATGAATTAAAAACCACCACCTGTCCTCATGTTCAGCAGTCATATATATGTTAGTGTAAGGATGAGTGGATATCTGCACGGCATGCAAGCCAGCTGCATCTATTTACCACTTAATGCATATTATGTTGCATAAATGCATTGAAATATAATCATAAAAAGGGTGGCTTTGTGGGGCAGATTTCAAACCGGGCACAGTGAGGAACCATGTCAACATCAGTGCTGTCAGATATATATGTGAGCAGTAGTAAGTAGAGGAAGCGCTTCTTACCGGATGTCGGCCTTGTGGATACATCTTGAAATGTATCCTTTGTTTATCTCTCCAGTGTACAGGTCCTTTGGCAAAATGGTTGAAATGTGCTCACGGCCACACCAGTCTCAGCAGACAGGGGTGGGGTGGGGGGGGGTAGGGGGAGGTCGTGAAAACCCTGTGTTGAAAAATGACGCGGTTTTAATCTATAGACGGAAAAATAAAAATAAAAACACCACAATACAGTGCACGCTGGTCGCTAATAAGTACTCAGAACACCAAACTAGTCCCAGTTAAAAAGCAGCACTAGTTCTGCGCTTCTGTCTTCTTGATGACCTTATTCGGTCAGTGGTCAGCGATATGCAAACAAAATCTCACATTTTTACAATTTGAACTGCTGCAAAACACAACATGGACTAAATAAAAAAAAAAGAAGCTGCTTTATGTCGGCGCAAATGTTAAAACGCTCGCATCAAATCCGGCCCTGTTTGTGACTCTTAATCTTGACTGATGTTCCGTCAAATGAGCAGAACCCCGCTCTCGGACGTCTACAGGCAGGCCACAGCCGACAGCAGCTGGCTTCCACCTACTGTTGACTCCGCGGAAAGCGATGGAAACGGTGCGCTGTTGAGCGTACGCCCCAAAAAAACCCCACAAAAAGAAAATACTAGAAAATAAATCAGCAGCTCTGGTAGATACATACCCGTGCGTGCGTCCAAAGCGTCCGTCCGACTTTTTTGTTCCTGAAGAAAAACAGAGTAGACTATAATTCATGCGTTTAATCCCTCCTAATGTAAGCGTGGTGGACGCGGATCTCGACAAGCATCCTCTCTCTCTCTCTCTCTCTCCCCCTCTCTCTCTCTCTCCGGAGCGCACCCAGCCAGACTGGGGGAGCAGTTGGGAGAAAATTTGGTGCGGTCGGGCTCGATTAAACTACTTTATTCTCCGCCGCGAACCTCCGAGGAATGTGCGCCTTTTGTTGGCTGGTTAATCCCATAAAAAATAAAAAAACAAATACGCTTTCAAAATCTGTCTTCCGACTCGAAGAGGGCTGGAGATTCTTTAAAAGCGTAACATGGTACTCTCCACAATCTCGCATTTCCCCCAGTTGTCCAGCTTACCCCGGTTGCCACACACAGGCAGCAGGGCTGAACTGCCGTGAAAGCGCCTATCTGTCCAATCGGATTACTCGGAAGGAATACGGCCACATCTGCCTATCGGAGAGCGACGGCCCCCACGTGGGGTGCAACGATACATGACATCATCCCGTGGATCCACAAGGCATCATCAGTCCGTCCCACCATGTACAACAACAACAGCAGCAGGCATTGATGTGCCGACGATGATATCCAAATTTAACAGAAGACAAGCACAAATTCCACATCCGCGCTTCATTAGGGTGTTTGCCTTTTTGGCCGCCTAAATAAAGTTGATTCTTTTTTTATTTTTTTTTTAGCTGGGTGGAAGGGGGTGAGACCACCACCAGCGGGACAAGGAGGGGAGGTGTGAGGTGCAACAAGCAATCTTGAATTTATATCCCCATACAAGGAAGAGGGAGGGAGGGAAGGGGAGGGGGGGAGATGGGAGCTTGTTAGTAAAACATGGTTATAAAATGTGAAGCGACTTTAATGTGAAATAATCCAAAAATCATAAATATGCGGGTTAAACTCCCCCACCACCTAAAAAAACCCCAACACACACCGTGAAGGACACAATAATGACCCATCGATCGACGATATCCACCAAACTGAAGCTCACGAGGCGGACTCGACATACAATTTTTTTTTTTTTTTTAAGCTTTAAATATCTCGTGATTCATCGCGCGCCTACCTATCAGCATTTGTGTAATAGTTGCACTGCGGGGAGAGAAGAGATGATTGCCTTTGTCTGATGTGAACATCAGCCATGTCTGAGCGCGAGCCTCTACGCCTTGTTTTGAAGGTTTCAACTCAGCCCCCACGTGGGACTCCTCTGCGGCTTTAAGGCCTCTCGTCCAATCGGAGCGCGGTGCACTTACTCGCCGGCTTCCCATTGGCCGAGCGGCGTCGAGCCTGTCATTCACGGAGCAGCGTTGTCAATCAATACCACGCGGGGTCAAGCGCTGACAAATGCCTGTGCTCCTCGGTCCTCTGCCTGTGAATAGAGCCGGGAATGGCTGCTTAATTAGCTTCGAATGGCTTTTCTCTCCAGTTCAAACAATCTGTTACCACCACGTGGTAATGAGAGCCTACATTAAACAAAAGGAAGAAAGGAAGCATGCAAACAGTTGTAACATTACAACCTGTAGTTTTTTTTTTTAACATATGGGTCCATGTAACGAGCAGACAAAAAAAAAAAGGGCCTTGTTTATTTTTTATCACAAAGGCCAATCGACCTGTTCTAACATTAAACACGAGAGGCGACCTTAATATTAATGTTGTGTTGTATGGATGGATGAAGTGTTTCCACAATCAGAAGAGTAGGGGGGAAAAAGGCATTTGTCCTCTTGTTTTTATGATGAATACAAGAAAAGCTACTTAATTCAGTTATTTCTTGGCTATGATGGCAAGCTTGTGAAATGAAGAAAAACAACACCAGATGCATAAAAACGGAAGACTAATTATATTATCTCCAGTCTTTTAATGTATAACACATATTCAAAGCTGTTAAATTAGCAAGAGATGTGACATGGGGTCTTCACACGTGGAAAACATGTAATCTTATACAATACTGAACTTAATCATGGTTGTGCTGATAAATTAAATCAACTACTTAAGGCCTGTGTGAAGTGACTAAATCGGGAAACAACCAGCCACGTTTTTTACACCGAGTATGAGCAGAGGCTTTTTGGGAATGCTAAGGTCATTTTGTCATGTTAAGGTCTGAGCTTGCCCAGCAGTCGCCTTGCTTGTCATTCTTGTCAGCCACCTTGAGGATGTGGGATAACTGTGTTATTTCCAAAAGTATGGAGGCAGTCTGTGAGAAACTCAAGCACACACAAGAGCCGGCGGGCTAATCTCAGCCAGGCACCCCCCCTCCCCTCCCCTCCTTGCTTTTCAATAGAGAGTGCTTGGATTAAAGGCAACAAAAGGCCGGGCCAAACCCCAGGGAGAGGGGGCCCTCCGCCCACTGAGACCCCCACACTGTTTATTTACACGGAAACCCCAGCCTCAGTGAAACTCCCACCCTCAGGCATTACACACTGGCCTATTTGCAGAGGTGGCTCTAATTCTTGACAGAGCAGGGATTGTCCTCACTCTTGCCACTTTGAACTGAGTCTTTTTTCCACGTAGCTCTGATACAGCTAGTGAGGAATTATTTTGCTTCTTCCCCAGAACAATTACCGTGGGTGCTTATTGTTCGAAGGTAGCTATAACTGTCATGCTTTCTGTGTATTTCCGTGTAAAAATTGGTATAACTCCACTAAGCTACTGTTTGAAATCATGGTGCTGCAGAACAAGGCAAAGATCAACGACATGGCGGAACTATTTATCATGAACCTATATTGGATGTATTTGGAGATTATACAGTATTGGCTCATTAATGTGACTTGCAGTTAATAAATGACTTGGCCATTTTTCTCTCTCACACACTGGCTTAAGTTTCCTGTTCATGAAGCAGAAAATGAGGGGCCCTGTTACTGCACAGGCTTGGGTGTATATTGCAGTGACTTACACTTCAGGGTACTAGCATGCTGTTTATATGGAGATGCACACAGACATACTGCACATTCACAAACAAACACATACATGCTGTGCAGTCACGTCATTCACAGGCAGGAGGCAGAAACACACACGCACACGCGAGCACACACACACACACACACACACACACACACACACACACACACACACACACACACACACACACATTCCATGTAACAAAGGGCCCACAGTGTGTGGTGGAAAGATGAATTGCCTGTACTGTATAATCAGGATGACTCATCAGACAGTAATCAATGAAAACAGGATGAAGGTCCTTATCAAAGGAGAAAAAAATGCAGACAAGAAGAGTGTCTCAAAACAAAAAGATTAGGTTTTTGGCAAGAATCTGGAGCTGTAGACCTCTGCTGAGGACATAGAACAAATTGCTACTTTGAAATTAATATTCTCTGCTATCAACAGTGCCACGCTGATAAATATGAGTACAGACATTCATTAGAGTTTGCTTTATGCATGTGTGATTTTCTTTTAAAGGTCCAGTGTCTAACATTTAGGAGGATCTATTGGCAGTAATAGAATATGACATTGATAAGGATGTTTTCATCAGTGTACAATCATCTGAAAATAAGAATTGTTGTGTTTTCGTTACCTTAGAATGAGCAGTTTTTGTCAACAGAGGGAGCGGGTTCTCCTCCATGGAGGCTGTCATGTTGAATCGCCATGTTTCTACAGTTGCCCAGAATGGACAAACCAAACAATGGTTCTTGGGCCACATTTTTCGCGAGTTTTGAAAACTTATGTCGCAAAAAATTTCCAAAATAGTTTGCTGTTTGAGGGGTTTTCCTTTCCACAATACACTGATAAGTATTGCAAATTATTACCAAAAGCCGTATGTACACTTAGTTCATCAGCCAAGATTATTATGTGTTAATATTTCCCAAGACTCTTCTCCTTTGTGACTCCAGACGATACAAGCTCCATATTTTGGAATTAATTCTGTCTGTTCAAATATAAATAAAACAAACAAACAAACAAACAAACATCCTTTGGTCTATAGAAAGCCACCTCAATGTCAATGCTTCAACATGCTAACAAACATACTAAAGTAATGAGAAGTGAGAAATTGAAACCAAACCACAACTTTGTGTATTCATCTGACATAACAGTCGGAAAACATCCACCATTAACACCCAGAAAGTTGATATGACAATTAAAAAACAGCTCATAGTAACAATAAAACTGTTGGCTATGTTTGTCCATAGCAACATTGATGTCTGCATCTTTCAATTAAAGTTTAGTCACATAAATCACAGTTTTAATTTAGCACACTATTCATAATATTCATTTCTGTGAGTCCTTACAGGTAAGAATATAATGATGTACAGTGCAACTAAAACATAGAAAGCCTCAGAAGTTCTGCTCTTTAACACGTCTCAGTGCTGAACCAGCGGACCTGATACGTGAACACCTCACCTTCTGTCACATCCTTGTACACACAGTTGTTGTCTTGCTATGTTGTTATTGTTCTGTGTCCACCACATCCCACAGCAGAGCTGGAAGGCTGCCAGTTATATTCCTATCCACTTAAATTCAGCAGCCTACTTCCAGAGAGGTAATGGTGGTGCACAGTAGCCCTCCTAAACTTCATTTTCACTCACACCCTTCACACTGCATAATCAAGAATCAGAATTGCCGTAGTGAGAGCTTGTTCAACAAACCCTCAGCTCAGAAAATGCATAGCTGCATCATTTCTATTTTGACAACAAACTGCAGATTACAGATAGTTACAGGCCAAAGGCTCACAGCTAGTCTGTGTATTGAATTATTCCCCACCGGCGGTCTCCTTCTCAACTCGCTCCATAATTCAGGACGCAGTTACTAAGAAAAGATTCCGCATTAAACTGATCAGAGGATCAAGTGGTACCAGTTGATTGAGAAGACCTTGAGCTGCTCAACACAGATTTTGTTCCTCTAATCCAGTTTGCTGAATGGCTAATGTGATTAAAAAGATTCTTTAGGCCTAAATTCAGTTATGGTTCATGATTACATTCACATGGCATGGGAATGACTTCACATGACTGTCTCGAAAGAAAATATGTTGTTAAGGTAACAGCCCATGCAAGAAAAGTGCAATTGCTACTGAGGTCAGGGTCTGTGAATTGTTAAGCTAAGTGTTATATGAGGGTTGAATGTTACATCAAACAGATTTAACAGTATACGGCAAAAATGGTGAGAAATGTGATGAAGTAACCTTGTAGAAGTCAATGCTGAGATGAATTTATCACACAGTGTAATGAATGGTAAGCAGAGCCCTTTAACTAGCTCCAAAATGATAATGTGAGCTGTGTAGTATCTCAGAAATGTCCTTCTGAGGCCACAAGCTTCTGTCCTCATATACCGCATTTCACCACTTCTGCCTCACTGAGGAGCATTTCATATTCCCTGGCACACAGTAATATAGCCCCACTCCTCCATGCCAAATTGACTCCACAAGTGCTCCTATACCTGCTGACTGACACATGCTCGCTGAAAATGATTCCTTCACCAGCAGACCAGCATTGCTGCTTGCTCTGGAGGGGTACTTGATTCCATTATTAAGTTGAAAAAGAGAGCGAGGGGATGGGAAGAAAAAAAAAAAAAAAGCTTGACTGGGTAGAGAAGAATAATAGAGAGCTGAGGAAGTTATCAGGGCAGGGGAGAGTGAGCCTGCCGTCTGACAGCAGATCAGAGAGCTCCTCCAGCTGGAACTCCTGCTCATGAGCCCGGCAGAGCAGAGC